TTGAAATAAAAATTTTTACTTCATAATTTGAAGATATTCATAAAAGTCTTACAAATTTATTTTTAAAACAGAACAAAACTAAAGAGAATCAAACTAGACTCAATTATCATAACATTATATTAGATTAAATAATTTCTTGATAAATTAATTCAATTATTCAATGATAAATAATAAAAATGATTAAAAATTATCGCAAGAAAAGGAAAAAGTTTCATTAAATCAAAAAGTAACAAATTCATAAAATAAATATTCGATCTTCCAAAAGGAAATTTATTTTCACTTAGAATCTTAAAATAATGTAATCAATAAGATATTTAATAATCATTATAATTCTCAAGTGCATGAGAGATATTCTTTCTTAGTTGAAAAAAATCCAATTTTGCAGTTATCTGAGATCTGGAAAAAAGTGATGAAATAAAAATTAAGTTAACTTTCTTAATGAATTAAGAATTTCTAGATTTATAAAAAAATTCAATTGTATTTAAATCTATTCGATTTTAATAAAAAATACAAAATAAGTTAAACAATCAAAAATAAAAAAAAATTTAGGAATACTTGATAAGATTACAGATGAAAAAGGGAGTTTTCTCTAATTTGATAGAAAGGAAAATATTTGAATAACTTTAGAGCTTTAAATTTTGATGAATATTTAAAATCAAATGCTTATTTTTAGAAAAGTAAAGCTATATTAAAANCGTAAATCAAAGGAAATATCAAAAAATTTAATAGATATAAAGAATAATTGTTTATTCAAATTAATGTTTGAAAATTATAAATTGAAATTAAGTCCAAGAATTCTAAATTTAAAACAATATAGTATCAAGTTATAAAATTTGATACTATGTAAAAATTAATTGACAAATGAAGAAGAAGAGAAAATATTTTATTGCTTTCAAGAACATTAACTTTCAATAATAACTATTGCTATTGATTCGTGAGTTAAAGACTATTATGTTCTTTATGCTTGGAAAATTAAAATATGCTATAGTAATTTTTGAAATTTTCAATTATTGAAGAAAAATTATCAAATAAGATGGAAAAAGTAGATGAAATAATAACATTAAATATTGAAAATATCAAAATTATTATTAGTCAAATAATAAATTTTAAACTTTCCTTGATTTAATAATAATCTACTGATAATTAAATATAAAAATATGAAGTTAAATTTTAGGAAGAAATTTAAATAATAAAATACCAAATATGAATATTTAAAAATTAAGAAAAATCACGACAAGAAAAAACTTGTACTTCAGTATTGATTGCAGTGGATTTGGTTTTATCAAATAAATCACAGATAAAATCATTTTTGGTGAATGCTTAATTGAAAAATAATTAATAAAAATAAGGTGAAAACCATAGAGTAATCAAAAAAGAATAAATCATATATATTGAGGCCCAATATAGCTGTATTTAAAAAGTTTGTTTAATTAAAAAATAATATTTTCAATTATTCTTTCTAAATTTATACTTTGATTATTTTTTTATTTGAAATAAAAATTTTTACTTCATAATTTGAAGATATTCATAAAAGTCTTACAAATTTATTTTTAAAACAGAACAAAACTAAAGAGAATCAAACTAGACTCAATTATCATAACATTATATTAGATTAAATAATTTCTTGATAAATTAATTCAATTATTCAATGATAAATAATAAAAATGATTAAAAATTATCGCAAGAAAAGGAAAAAGTTTCATTAAATCAAAAAGTAACAAATTCATAAAATAAATATTCGATCTTCCAAAAGGAAATTTATTTTCACTTAGAATCTTAAAATAATGTAATCAATAAGATATTTAATAATCATTATAATTCTCAAGTGCATGAGAGATATTCTTTCTTAGTTGAAAAAAATCCAATTTTGCAGTTATCTGAGATCTGGAAAAAAGTGATGAAATAAAAATTAAGTTAACTTTCTTAATGAATTAAGAATTTCTAGATTTATAAAAAAATTCAATTGTATTTAAATCTATTCGATTTTAATAAAAAATACAAAATAAGTTAAACAATCAAAAATAAAAAAAAATTTAGGAATACTTGATAAGATTACAGATGAAAAAGGGAGTTTTCTCTAATTTGATAGAAAGGAAAATATTTGAATAACTTTAGAGCTTTAAATTTTGATGAATATTTAAAATCAAATGCTTATTTTTAGAAAAGTAAAGCTATATTAAAATTACACAATTTTATGTCTCAGTCACAAATATTGGCATAAAATCATGAAATATAAGTTGATATTTCCCAAATTATTTTGATTCCCTAATTCAAATAATTGAAAGATTATAATAACTTAGACAGAATTTCAAACAAAAAAAAGATACTTTTATGCTTAGATTTGAATTGTTTAAAAAAACAATAGAAAAATTCACTATGATATGAATTGCCTTTTAATACAACTATATTTTCAAAAATGAAATAATTTTGGAAAACATATCTCTATTATTTTCCTGTCTTTTTAGTAACACTTCAAATTGACCATCAAGAAAAATCTCTAATGCAAACGGTTATATTGATTTGCAATACTGTTATCATCTTATTTATTTCTTTTTATTTTTAACCCCAAATTTTGAAGATTAAATATTTAATTTTTTATGATGTTTAAATGATAATATTTTTTTTATTTAAAAAATGTGAAGTTTTCAACTTTTTCACCTGAAGTAGATTTAGAAAACTAGAATTACTCCTATAATTTTGGCATCATTGATATTCATATTATTGAACTTTAGAAAACACTAAGATATCATTCATATAAGAATTTTTCTTATAACATTGAGTCACTGTCACAAAGAAGAAATGCAGATATTCTGTAAGGATGTGATCATATTAAAGTTAGGTAGCTAATTGTTTTTATTAATCATCTATTGATTTTTATAAAAACTATCTCCTTACTTTTGGTTTCTTTAAGAATATGCATCCAATTTAATACAAAAAATGATATTTTAATTTTATGAAGGTATATTTAATAATTCACATTGTGTACGGAATCATTACATATGATTCCAATACTATTACTTCTTTTGCTTATTAGTATAGTGGAGGAAGTAAATGCATATCACCTTAACAACGATAAAAAACAGTNAAAAGTAGATGAAATAATAACATTAAATATTGAAAATATCAAAATTATTATTAGTCAAATAATAAATTTTAAACTTTCCTTGATTTAATAATAATCTACTGATAATTAAATATAAAAATATGAAGTTAAATTTTAGGAAGAAATTTAAATAATAAAATACCAAATATGAATATTTAAAAATTAAGAAAAATCACGACAAGAAAAAACTTGTACTTCAGTATTGATTGCAGTGGATTTGGTTTTATCAAATAAATCACAGATAAAATCATTTTTGGTGAATGCTTAATTGAAAAATAATTAATAAAAATAAGGTGAAAACCATAGAGTAATCAAAAAAGAATAAATCATATATATTGAGGCCCAATATAGCTGTATTTAAAAAGTTTGTTTAATTAAAAAATAATATTTTCAATTATTCTTTCTAAATTTATACTTTGATTATTTTTTTATTTGAAATAAAAATTTTTACTTCATAATTTGAAGATATTCATAAAAGTCTTACAAATTTATTTTTAAAACAGAACAAAACTAAAGAGAATCAAACTAGACTCAATTATCATAACATTATATTAGATTAAATAATTTCTTGATAAATTAATTCAATTATTCAATGATAAATAATAAAAATGATTAAAAATTATCGCAAGAAAAGGAAAAAGTTTCATTAAATCAAAAAGTAACAAATTCATAAAATAAATATTCGATCTTCCAAAAGGAAATTTATTTTCACTTAGAATCTTAAAATAATGTAATCAATAAGATATTTAATAATCATTATAATTCTCAAGTGCATGAGAGATATTCTTTCTTAGTTGAAAAAAATCCAATTTTGCAGTTATCTGAGATCTGGAAAAAAGTGATGAAATAAAAATTAAGTTAACTTTCTTAATGAATTAAGAATTTCTAGATTTATAAAAAAATTCAATTGTATTTAAATCTATTCGATTTTAATAAAAAATACAAAATAAGTTAAACAATCAAAAATAAAAAAAAATTTAGGAATACTTGATAAGATTACAGATGAAAAAGGGAGTTTTCTCTAATTTGATAGAAAGGAAAATATTTGAATAACTTTAGAGCTTTAAATTTTGATGAATATTTAAAATCAAATGCTTATTTTTAGAAAAGTAAAGCTATATTAAAATTACACAATTTTATGTCTCAGTCACAAATATTGGCATAAAATCATGAAATATAAGTTGATATTTCCCAAATTATTTTGATTCCCTAATTCAAATAATTGAAAGATTATAATAACTTAGACAGAATTTCAAACAAAAAAAAGATACTTTTATGCTTAGATTTGAATTGTTTAAAAAAACAATAGAAAAATTCACTATGATATGAATTGCCTTTTAATACAACTATATTTTCAAAAATGAAATAATTTTGGAAAACATATCTCTATTATTTTCCTGTCTTTTTAGTAACACTTCAAATTGACCATCAAGAAAAATCTCTAATGCAAACGGTTATATTGATTTGCAATACTGTTATCATCTTATTTATTTCTTTTTATTTTTAACCCCAAATTTTGAAGATTAAATATTTAATTTTTTATGATGTTTAAATGATAATATTTTTTTTATTTAAAAAATGTGAAGTTTTCAACTTTTTCACCTGAAGTAGATTTAGAAAACTAGAATTACTCCTATAATTTTGGCATCATTGATATTCATATTATTGAACTTTAGAAAACACTAAGATATCATTCATATAAGAATTTTTCTTATAACATTGAGTCACTGTCACAAAGAAGAAATGCAGATATTCTGTAAGGATGTGATCATATTAAAGTTAGGTAGCTAATTGTTTTTATTAATCATCTATTGATTTTTATAAAAACTATCTCCTTACTTTTGGTTTCTTTAAGAATATGCATCCAATTTAATACAAAAAATGATATTTTAATTTTATGAAGGTATATTTAATAATTCACATTGTGTACGGAATCATTACATATGATTCCAATACTATTACTTCTTTTGCTTATTAGTATAGTGGAGGAAGTAAATGCATATCACCTTAACAACGATAAAAAACAGTCTATTTTTCTGACATATTTGCAAGACCTCCAAAAATAATTTTATAAACTCAAATGTTCGACTTGTAACATCCATATCTAAATTTCACACTTCAGATTATGACTGTTACAACAGATTGTATTATTTATCAAAGTATTAGATTTTATACTGCATTAAAAGTGCGATTATTCAGTAGTCCATGGTATTGTAATTAGATGGTAAGCAATGGATGATGAAAGAATTTAAGTTATAAATGAGTTTAACATGATTTCATTAGAGAATAAAACTTATTCTCACATCAACCCTAATGTCGAAGAGGCGATTATCTCTTTGATTAATTTATCCTATAAGGGTTCTATTAAGTTCAATATCGAGGTATTTATTAAGAGATATCTACTTAGATCTCTGAATTAACAAGAAAAAATGTATCTGTTGTAATAACGAATCCAAACGATGGCTTAAAAAATCTACTTGTTTTGGGTTATTAAGTAATTTTAGGAGTCAAAGAAGCTATTTCAAATTTTAGTTCGATCTATACAACTGCTGCCTATACAAGTCCTCATTATAATTTTCAGGATTCTTCTTGGTTGATTACACCTTTCATTGGGTTTTCTTATGATGTAACAGCTAACATTAGACTTAATTTAACTCATTATTCAGATCAATAGGCTATTTGGTATCAGCTTAATTCATTTGTAGGTACAATTGATTCATATGATTTTAGCTGGGACCCATTGGCAGTATTATGCACCACAAAGCCATTAGCCAGCATGGCTCAAGTATTCATTTACAACCATATACACAGCATTAGAATGTAGAACTTTAAGAATTACATAAATAAAAGAAAGACAAGCAGTTTTCAGAAATTCTTTTGAAGTTGAAATTTTGGAAACTTCTTAATTATTCAATACTTAAGATACATTTTAAATAATTCTTGATAAAAGTTATTAGTTAATAAACATAAAGATTTATGCAAAATGCTTTACAAATAAATCTATTAAAAGTTACTTAAATAAATGCAACGGATGCTTGCAAAATTAATAACACTAGTTTTAGCATAATTGCTACGGGGCTATCAATACAATTAACTTCTCAATTAAATTATTCCCAACAATTTTGGCGTATTAAGAATTAATAATTATAATATCAACTATTGATTGTTAAGTATTTTAAGTACTATACAATGAAGAAAAGAGTTAAGTCAAACTCATAGATATCAAACAAATTGACACTTGATTATAATAATAGATATATTCATTGAAAATATTTAATTCAGCCTATCATTTCATATTAAAATAACCAAAGAATCAATCATAGTAATTTTTGCTTATTATGATGATTTGTTCAGCAAATTTTGAGACTCTAGAGTGATGATGTGTGTATTTGATGATCCTGATAAAAATAAAATAATAGAGGTAGATTAATAAAAGGGTTTGTACTTAACTAAATTTATAGGTTTGCATAAAGTCCTTAGGAAATTTCTTAATGGGTCTAAATTATAAATTCTTCAAAGGATAGTTCTTGTTATTTCTTTGTTAATATTAAATCAAATTCATATATTATGATTTTCTTGAAAAACTATATATTAATCGATTTCCACAGAAGAATTTAAGACCAAGCTAATTTTTTTTTTTTAAGTAAATACTTGATATTCTCTTTTTATTATTAAAATAGTGATTGTTCTTATTTTTCAAAACGATTGAGTATCTGAATAGCAATATTATGAAAGTTTGATCTCTTTAATATTGGACAGTATCTCATTTTCAACAAAATTATTAATTTCATATATTTTCTTTTTTAGATCTATTTTTGGAAATAAGTTGTTTAAAAATATTTTTACTAAGAAGGAATTTTAAGTTTGAATTGTAAATATGATGTCATGAATTATATAAATTCTTAGTAAGATGTAAATCGCTTTCATAAAGCAACGATGACACTCTTTTTAAAATTACCTTATATATCAAATAATCTCAAGCATATAAATTATTATTTTTTTTATTTTTTTGCTTTGTCTAAAATTAATGGTCAGTTAAAATAATAATAAAAAATAAAAGTATATATTATAATTTAATTCTACACAATTATACTTAACATTTTTTTTACAATTATAATAATTTCGTTACTTTTATACAAAAATATTATTATAAAGTGGAAGATGCAAAGTAGCAAGAAAAATATTCAATAATTTTCTGTATTTCTTGAAATTAAATACAAAATATAATGTCATCACATCAATAAAACCGATAAAAAAGTTTGATAATAGATTTTGAATTTTTGAGATACATTTTCATCTGTAATAATCAAAATTATGCAATTTTATTATTCAATAATGAGAGATTTAGTATTTTTTCGTATTCAACTTACTATAAAACTGAAAATATCTACTTTTCTTGTTAATGACCCATAAATAATTTGGATTTAATCCAATAGCTATATTATAATAAATAAGAGCTTTCTTATATTTTGACAATTCTTGTAGAAAAAAAAAATGTGAATTTAAGCAAGCTCCTATATAATAAATATATGATAAACCTTTAGTGGCTAAGGATAACTTATAATACAGATATATGTTCAATTTTTGTCTAGAATCTCAAGTGTTTTAACAAAATTTCCTAACATTCNTTATTAGTTAATAAACATAAAGATTTATGCAAAATGCTTTACAAATAAATCTATTAAAAGTTACTTAAATAAATGCAACGGATGCTTGCAAAATTAATAACACTAGTTTTAGCATAATTGCTACGGGGCTATCAATACAATTAACTTCTCAATTAAATTATTCCCAACAATTTTGGCGTATTAAGAATTAATAATTATAATATCAACTATTGATTGTTAAGTATTTTAAGTACTATACAATGAAGAAAAGAGTTAAGTCAAACTCATAGATATCAAACAAATTGACACTTGATTATAATAATAGATATATTCATTGAAAATATTTAATTCAGCCTATCATTTCATATTAAAATAACCAAAGAATCAATCATAGTAATTTTTGCTTATTATGATGATTTGTTCAGCAAATTTTGAGACTCTAGAGTGATGATGTGTGTATTTGATGATCCTGATAAAAATAAAATAATAGAGGTAGATTAATAAAAGGGTTTGTACTTAACTAAATTTATAGGTTTGCATAAAGTCCTTAGGAAATTTCTTAATGGGTCTAAATTATAAATTCTTCAAAGGATAGTTCTTGTTATTTCTTTGTTAATATTAAATCAAATTCATATATTATGATTTTCTTGAAAAACTATATATTAATCGATTTCCACAGAAGAATTTAAGACCAAGCTAATTTTTTTTTTTTAAGTAAATACTTGATATTCTCTTTTTATTATTAAAATAGTGATTGTTCTTATTTTTCAAAACGATTGAGTATCTGAATAGCAATATTATGAAAGTTTGATCTCTTTAATATTGGACAGTATCTCATTTTCAACAAAATTATTAATTTCATATATTTTCTTTTTTAGATCTATTTTTGGAAATAAGTTGTTTAAAAATATTTTTACTAAGAAGGAATTTTAAGTTTGAATTGTAAATATGATGTCATGAATTATATAAATTCTTAGTAAGATGTAAATCGCTTTCATAAAGCAACGATGACACTCTTTTTAAAATTACCTTATATATCAAATAATCTCAAGCATATAAATTATTATTTTTTTTATTTTTTTGCTTTGTCTAAAATTAATGGTCAGTTAAAATAATAATAAAAAATAAAAGTATATATTATAATTTAATTCTACACAATTATACTTAACATTTTTTTTACAATTATAATAATTTCGTTACTTTTATACAAAAATATTATTATAAAGTGGAAGATGCAAAGTAGCAAGAAAAATATTCAATAATTTTCTGTATTTCTTGAAATTAAATACAAAATATAATGTCATCACATCAATAAAACCGATAAAAAAGTTTGATAATAGATTTTGAATTTTTGAGATACATTTTCATCTGTAATAATCAAAATTATGCAATTTTATTATTCAATAATGAGAGATTTAGTATTTTTTCGTATTCAACTTACTATAAAACTGAAAATATCTACTTTTCTTGTTAATGACCCATAAATAATTTGGATTTAATCCAATAGCTATATTATAATAAATAAGAGCTTTCTTATATTTTGACAATTCTTGTAGAAAAAAAAAATGTGAATTTAAGCAAGCTCCTATATAATAAATATATGATAAACCTTTAGTGGCTAAGGATAACTTATAATACAGATATATGTTCAATTTTTGTCTAGAATCTCAAGTGTTTTAACAAAATTTCCTAACATTCTTATAATTGGCTAATGCTAAAAGAACATAAGGATTCACCTATAGAAAGGAATCAATAATCACCTTTTGTGTGTAATGAGTAAACATTTTTACAATCTATTGACAAAGCTTTATCTGCCCATATAATTGCTGCTTTATAATAATCAAGCATTTTTACTTTGAACTATCAGCTAAAATATTTATTGATTATTTGTAGTAGGTTAATTAATAAAATTATATTGTAACCCAGTTTTTCTTTATAAGTTTAAAATTTGATTTATTTATCCTTTTTGGGAATATCTTTTAAGTAAACACTATACTAATTAAGCATTCTTATATTTAAAAGTTTAAAAATAACCAAACTTAAACTGTCAGCTAATATATTTATTTATAGCTTTTATACCTTTCGTATATAATGATAATTAATGACTAGGAATAATTAGTAATGCATTATCAATTAATTGTATTGCTACTTCATATTTTTCATCATACTAATATAATAGAAATCCTAATTAAATATTTGTAATACCTGTTTAAAATAATTATTCTGCTTGTTCTGATTCTTACTAGGTTAATTAATTATAATAATTCCTCTATAGTTAATAAATAATTTAGAATGGATCTATCAATTATATTAAAGTAAAGTTTCAATTCTATAGTTTATATTTTAATTAAATTATCATGTCATTCGAACAGTATTTTATATCATCTATTAAAATTTAAGTAATTTCATTACATTTAAACATTTCGTCAAAAGTTTAATTCAATTACTTTGCATCCAATTTAAAAATTCTTTCTTTTTATAATTGATATTTAATCCTCAATCCTTAATTAAGTTAAATTAATATTTTTTTAATATTTCCTATTTCCAAACATAATCTTTATATTAAATCTTCAAAATTCAATAAATTTATTTAAATCATATTGATCTTTTGGATGAGAAACATGATATCCATTTCGAAGAAAATTGAAACAATAAATTCTATTTTCTTTGCATGCTTGATTAAAGCATGTAAATTACATGATACAATCATGTTCTTCAATAGAATATTATATCTATAGTTCTTTAGTCTCATTCATACCTATTATTATTATTGTTAATTCTAAAAAATTAGTTAAATGTTATTTTTAGAGCATAATTTTTGATTCATACCACAAGAATTAAGATATTCAAAAATATATACTATTTAATACAATTTCCTCTTTTAATTAAGATATATTATTTGCATTTGATGGAACTAATAAAATATATAGTCCTATAAATAACTTATTTACCAAAAACATAAAGGATATACACCAAAATAAAATAAATATACTAAATCTGGTCTTATTAATGCGAGGAATTGAAAATGAATGCTTATTTAAATACCCATTAAAACAATAATAATAAACTAAATACACAAAAACAAATAACAAACAGTTTTAATAAACTGCAAATATATATTCTCATTAATCTAGCGAATAATTAATAATTATTAACTAAAATGTTAGTTCATTAAAATTAAATACATTATTTGCTATAAAATAATATTGTCCCCATATTATATGTTTATAAGTAATTCGAGATTTAGTTAATTCTAGCCCCTAGTATTATTTTATAAATAAGTTAAGAAAATCAAATAGTTAAGGAGGAGAATAAGCTGTAGGTGTTCATAAATAATTTATAATTAGAGAGATATCTAATTGTTTAGAACTAGTAAATCTATAATATTAACTTATTTAATGTAATTTAGAATTAATATTACTTAATCTCTATTCACCTTTATTATCAGGATAATAGTTATTATAGTAGGAGATATAAATAATAAAGCAAATAGTATTTAAGAATTATAAGATATGATATCTTAAAATTAATACACTTTTATTAGAAAAAGAGGTAATTAAATTATAAAATCTATAACCGATATTTCTATGATAGAAAGATATTATATAATTAACCAAGAATTTATTTACAATTTATCAGACCATCTTATGATTATTAGCAAATTAACTATTCCGTATAAATAATATATTTAAAAAAATTTGAGTTTAAAATAAATAAATGAGCAGTATATCTATTAAATAGGTAGTTTAGCGTAAGTTAGAATTTTTAAGATTTTTTTTTTGTTATTAAAAACTAATTAGTAATGCCTACAATTCAAAGCCCTTTANCTCAATCCTTAATTAAGTTAAATTAATATTTTTTTAATATTTCCTATTTCCAAACATAATCTTTATATTAAATCTTCAAAATTCAATAAATTTATTTAAATCATATTGATCTTTTGGATGAGAAACATGATATCCATTTCGAAGAAAATTGAAACAATAAATTCTATTTTCTTTGCATGCTTGATTAAAGCATGTAAATTACATGATACAATCATGTTCTTCAATAGAATATTATATCTATAGTTCTTTAGTCTCATTCATACCTATTATTATTATTGTTAATTCTAAAAAATTAGTTAAATGTTATTTTTAGAGCATAATTTTTGATTCATACCACAAGAATTAAGATATTCAAAAATATATACTATTTAATACAATTTCCTCTTTTAATTAAGATATATTATTTGCATTTGATGGAACTAATAAAATATATAGTCCTATAAATAACTTATTTACCAAAAACATAAAGGATATACACCAAAATAAAATAAATATACTAAATCTGGTCTTATTAATGCGAGGAATTGAAAATGAATGCTTATTTAAATACCCATTAAAACAATAATAATAAACTAAATACACAAAAACAAATAACAAACAGTTTTAATAAACTGCAAATATATATTCTCATTAATCTAGCGAATAATTAATAATTATTAACTAAAATGTTAGTTCATTAAAATTAAATACATTATTTGCTATAAAATAATATTGTCCCCATATTATATGTTTATAAGTAATTCGAGATTTAGTTAATTCTAGCCCCTAGTATTATTTTATAAATAAGTTAAGAAAATCAAATAGTTAAGGAGGAGAATAAGCTGTAGGTGTTCATAAATAATTTATAATTAGAGAGATATCTAATTGTTTAGAACTAGTAAATCTATAATATTAACTTATTTAATGTAATTTAGAATTAATATTACTTAATCTCTATTCACCTTTATTATCAGGATAATAGTTATTATAGTAGGAGATATAAATAATAAAGCAAATAGTATTTAAGAATTATAAGATATGATATCTTAAAATTAATACACTTTTATTAGAAAAAGAGGTAATTAAATTATAAAATCTATAACCGATATTTCTATGATAGAAAGATATTATATAATTAACCAAGAATTTATTTACAATTTATCAGACCATCTTATGATTATTAGCAAATTAACTATTCCGTATAAATAATATATTTAAAAAAATTTGAGTTTAAAATAAATAAATGAGCAGTATATCTATTAAATAGGTAGTTTAGCGTAAGTTAGAATTTTTAAGATTTTTTTTTTGTTATTAAAAACTAATTAGTAATGCCTACAATTCAAAGCCCTTTATATAAATGGCTAAAATTTCGATTTTTAAATTAATTGAGTAATTATTGCTAATATTATTCAAATAATAAGTAGGATTTATAAAAGGAATGAACACATAAGTTTAAATATTAAATTAAATTAAATCTTTAATTGTATGCAAGAAAAATCAAAATAAATAAATATTGTTTGTACTTTTCAATCAGCATATAATATGGCAAATTTAGAATTGTTATTTAAATATATATAAAAGAAATAAATATTACCATAAATTGATATTAACTTTTAAAAACCACTTATATCACATCAATATATAGTTAATCATGGAAAGAAATATAGCTTTTCTTAAGGTATTTTTTTATGATGATGATTTAACTATTATTTATCAAACAAGAATATTGAAAAAATAATTTTACGGTTCAAGAAAGTAAGTTAAAGATTAGAATTGATTTTAGATATTAATAAATGTGCCATTATGTAAATAAAGTAAAAAAAAAAAGACTTTTAAGTAAATAAGGATATTATGGGAATATAAATAATCAAATCTTAAAAAATATTTAACAGTTGAAATAAACTCTTAAGGAGAAATAAAAAATCACATTGAAACTATAGAAAAAAGATTAATTATCTTAGAAAAGGTTTTCTTAAATTATTACAAGATATGAGAATTGGTAATAGAATTCTTCTTTGGTCTTTGTAGATGAGAATTTACTTTTAATATATATGATCTATTTTTTAATTATAAAAGAAGCCAATTTAAATTTAAATAAAACAGTTATGGAAAAGAAGTATTAAGATGTGGCTTTCATAACCTAAAATTACTCCATATTATTTTTTTTTCGAATTGATTATTGGATAATTTACTGAAATTATAGATTAATCTTATAAAAAAACTGAAATTTAGTTAAATTAAAGGTCAAATTATTATAAGTAAAGTACTGAAGAGTTTTAAAATAAAATTTAATATCAAAAAATTAAGTTTTAAGGAATTATGAATTTACTAAACGAAATAAGTATTGTTTCTTTTACCTATCAGAAATTGTAAATAACATTAATAGTTAATGAATGATTCACATATTAAAAGCGAATATAATTTTGATTTAAGAGGGGGATTTGAGTCAATAATAAGTGAAAAATAAAATATATAGAGTCTATATTAGTTTTAAAATAATATGATAAGAATTTTAGAAGAAGCAGATTAATATAGATTTAAAAAAAAGAAAAAACATTTAGTAATGGATTAATGAACAGAATAAATGATGGGTGTGTGTGTATTATGATTATTATTATTATTAAATAAAAAATGGATGAATGATAGATGGCAAATACAAATAAAATTTTCTTAAACCTAATGGATATCCAAATAGAAATAATCAAGAATAAACAAAAATTGTAATTAAAAAATACATGAGAAAATTTCAAAGTAATATACCCAAAGATAATCAAAATCTTTCTTAGAGAATTAGATCTTGATTTTTAATAATTAAATTATAATATAATTATTATATTGTTTTCTCAGATTTGAAAAAAATTATTTCAATCAATATTATTAAATATTTGTTAGGTTTTTTTATGATTATTCTCAAAATAGATTTTCACATTCAATATGATTCAAATACATTTTTCATAATTTTCTTTTCAAATACTTCAAAGTCAAAATGAATTAAAATTAATAATAAAAATGAAACTGATATAATACAAGGTAATGAGTAGAATATTTTTTATTATAAATTCTAATTCATTAATACATATGTTTATTAAAATTTTTATGTAAAACTTTGAATAACAAGTAGATCAAGAATAAAATACTAACTAAAAATAATAATAAAAACAAATACAATAACCCGTGATTGAGCAACAGATAAAGAAGGAACTAAATGAACCTATGAAAATTAAGAAAATTAAGAAACATAAGAAACTTATGAAGCCTAAGAGACATATGAAATTGTGGAAATTAATTAAGCTGTCGATACCTGATGAACCTGATTAATTTTAATTTGATGAACCTGATTAATTTTAATTTGATGAATCTGATCAATCTTAATTTGGTATAATTACGATGATGAGCGCAGGAATGAATGGATGTGATTTTGAATTCTTAGCCCTATTGGATTCAAAGCTTAATCTAATAAAGAAAATTATAAGAGAGGAAATAAAATAAGAGAATTGAGATATAGTATAATTATACAATATAAAATTTACAATATATTCTAAAAGTTAGAATTTCGAATATGTTTATTTCTTAAACTCAATACTTCTTGATCTTAAATAAAAATTATGAATTTTCATTTGTTAGCAATTCCAACTTATTATAAATTGTATATTTGTTATATTAAATACATTTCTTTTAAACATATTTATTAATAGAGGAATTGTAGAAAATTTATTATAAATTTCATTCATTTTTATTATAATGCGCTTACTATTAAATCTAAATAAAATTGGAATAATGGTTGAATCAAGAAGAAATAAACCAAATGTAATGGTATCAATCCATTATGAATTGAATTGGAATTGCTACAATTTAACCAAATTTAAAACATGCCAAATTTACATTCATACTTATTGATTTAACAAATCTAAAGTATGTTTTTTTTTTCAAAAAATCAATTTCCTTGAAATAAAATTTGAATTATTAACGGCCATTGTATTAATTCTACCACACGAACTGAAGTCAAAACTTCCTTCTGTATTATTTCAAACACCTAGTAATTATCAGGTTAAAATTTCATTAATTAATGTATTTAAAATAATAATTATTTATTTGTAGATAAACCCTATTAAAAGAAGAAGGAAGGATTTTTATTTTGTCGCTTGTAATAATTTTCTAAAGTTCATTCTTTGTTGAGTACTTTAGAGGTGATTATATTTAAAGAAACTGTGTAGATATACTATTTTTTAACTAATTACAAATGAAATATGAAACACCTGAAATATATAAAGGAATAATGTATTTAAAAGCAACCATTTAAATAAAGTCACATTATTACTTGAGATTAAGAGGGACATTAAAAATCTTAAAAAATCAAAATATATGTCTCATAAAGAATCTCTTTAATTAGGGTTGACTTAAAATTTCTGAAAAAATCATTATTCGATATTCTAATTGCAAATAAAACTATTGTTATTAGTCTAATCACTAGGAATTAGCAATTTATAGATGGTGATTGATGATGAAACATTTAGGGTTTTCTGTATATTGTTAATATCAGCTCAATCAAGATTGAAAAAAAACTAATAATAAAAAATGTTTAAACTAAGAAAATTGCTACCTATATTCATAAAGATTAATATTTTGCATACTAACATTCCATTAGTTTTTGAGTTTTTATCAAACTTCTAAGTTTTCTATAATAAGATTCGAAATAATTTTTTTTCAACTTTTCATAATATAAATTCTAACTTTTCTAAAAAGGATTGCAATTCAAATGTTTAAATAAGTTTGTAAGCTAAGCTCTTTTTGCTTTAAAAATCAAAAGAATCTAAATTAGAATTCTAAGATCAAATATCAGAAAAGAAAAAATTAATAATTTAATTTTCTAAATATAAAAAGTGATTTAAACTAATTAAGTTATTTTAAATAATATTTCTGTTTTTTTTTGTTATAACTCTTACTAGACATCAACCAAAGAAAGTAAATGATGCTTTAAAGGTCTCTTGAAAATTTATAAATTTCTTGAAATATTTCTCTCAAAATACGATAAAATAAAGAAAGTTTCATAAGATAAAATCCCTAATTTAAATATTTTAAATATTATTTATTGCTGGAGTTGGGGCTTATCGTGAATATATATCATTCTTTTTTTTTAAAAAAAATTAAATAAGAAAATATTATACAAAAAAACTAAATTAAGCTAAAGTAAATTAACCTAATTAACATTCAATCTACTAATATGCTATATATACATTATTATTTATTTCATCATTCTTTCATTATCTTAACAGTTACTTTCCTCATCCAACTTTGAATTGAATTTAATACTCAGATGCTTATTAATGTGTTATTTGTTTAGTTGGAGCAACAAGTTTGTTAATCATTTCCATATTGCTTTTACATCAAACTCTTATCTCAACATTACTGAAGGGTGAACGAACTTAGAATTTATTGTATAATTGTGTAGCATAAGTTATTTTAGATACTAGCATAGTTTACCTATTTGTTTTTTTTTGGAGGCTTAGAAATGTTTAAATGTTTAAATGTTTAATAATACTCATCTCCTA